GAAAACATTTTAGTATGCATTAGAATCATAAAATACTCACCCGCCGTAGTCCTCTCCTAAATTTTCGGCAGAGTTCTACTTAGGACTCGTACTGTAACAAATTCGGGCTATTATAGGATCTAATTACATGCATAGATGGTGGATGGGGTCATCATCGTTCAATTGTCAGCTTACCTGGATAATTGGTAGCTTAGCAGTTGATCGAGAGGAAGAAATAAATGGAAATAATTTGGCGTTTTTTTGGAATTTGTTTTTATCTCAGCAGCACATGCCAATTGGTCGGCGTTTTATAGTAAGCTGTCAAACATAGGTACTTTGAATATCATTCTTTTAAGAAATTCAATAATCGCTGGTATACAGCTTGAAAAACAATCAAAATGTTGGAAAGAAAACTTACCTCTCTTCAGCCATGTTTGAAATAGCCAGATAGTCTCTTCAAATGCAGCCAGCGTAGTAATATTGCGCGCGCTCTATGTGTAGGGTGTATTACTGCGTTATGTTTAGTGAAATAGTACGAACATCTCGCAGACAGTTAACGGTTTCTCTAAAATCCAAGAGCAACACCAACAGCAACATATTTCATGTGTTTCACTTCAAGAATTCAAATCAAAAAGTGTAACATAAAAACTCTACTAGTATTATCCATTGAATGTCTGTCCCTACACACTTTATGCCATATATCACATGCAATTATTCTCTGCTATTTTAGACCAGGAAAGGCTGGACTGGAAACTGACCAGACATATTAATATTGGAAATGTAGTCGTGGATATAAATAGGAAAAAGAATATGACAATTACATTTGAAGATGGCTTGGAGCTGCTGATTGTGAGACATATAACTGCAAACCCACTCAAAGAAAATTATCTTGGCTTCTATATCACCAATGGGGAATCTCTGAGTGAAGATTCTAATGGACTGCTAGGTAAATTAAATATTGTATTTGGTTATACATGAAATAAGTATGTTACGTAGCTATTATACTGGTACATTCAATCAAGACGAACAAATCCAGTTCCTGTGTATTTGTCTTATGTCTTACATGGGTTTGTTTTAAAATCTGAAAATGATATCAATAATGATGTTTATATTGCAGAAGCAACTCCACGTACATGTATATATGCGTCAAAGTGAAGTTGTACATGTCTCTGTAACATCACTTAATATTGTTTGATAGAGTTCAACCTATTTTACTCAACCTTTTTCATTATTGCACAATATACTGTATTTTGTCGTATATTGTGCCGCTGGGCGTTCAGAGGGGTCATTCATCAAGATAATCGCAATCACTATAATAGTTAACCTAGGCATGTGATATCGTAAAATAAGGTCCACATCATCTTATATTTGAAGAGGATCTTTACGATCTCTAAATACGCGTTCTCTACGCAGATCATTACGGTTGAAATCAACCATCAGTTGCGCCATTTTGAACGAATAAACGCTGCCAGCAGACGATTAACATGTCATGCAAGATTGACAATATGGATACTAAGTGGGTACAGCCACGTGGGTACAAACCACGTGTAACGCACAATCACTGCGACCGGTCGCACGGTGAAGTACTAATTAAAAATACAAGCCGAAAACTAGCTGTTTTTGATAGCATCACAAACATGTTAAACATAATGCATATGTTCTGCAATTTCAATATATCATGGATCGAATATCGAACTATACGTCCTAGAATTTCTATATAATTTTATAACGAAATTCAATTAATTTAAGACATTTTTCTTGAACTTAAATCACTGCGACTGGGTACCACCGGTCGCTTAAATTATGGCCATTTTAGGGGTATTTCACTGCGACGTTGCAGAAAATTCTACCGATCGCAGTCGCACGAGATTGATGAATAGGACGTAATCGCTAAAAAAGGCCCTTGCGACATCGCAGGTTTGTGACGTTCTTGCGATAGCTTGATGAATGACCCCTCAGAGGTTATTTAGAGATCTATTTTAGTTAAAACCTGCCTTATCGCCACTAACATAAATTATGTCATAACACTAGTTATCCACTTCCAGGGCAATTTGAGAAATCTACAATCGAAGTTGCATTCAATGAAAGGGAGCCCCTTTCTCCAATTTTGAAATTTACAAACTATGAAGATGACAGAGAATCCGTCAAAGCATATGCAGGAAAACGCAATAGTCTGGACAATTCTAAGATTCCGTGTTGGTTTGTCAGGAATAACGGATACGGACTCCTCGAAGGAAAGCATACGGACTATATTGTTCCTAGACTGAGGTACGGCAAGTTATCACCCGGTCTGAGAAGGATGAGAAAAAAACGATCGAGCAGCTAAATTAATAGTAGACTCCTTAAGCAGAAGAGTCATGCCTTGGATTTTAAGTGTAAAGATTTGTATTTCACGTTATTTAATGTATATTAAATACATATGTAAAGCACGACACAGATACCTAGCTAGCATCTTAAATAGGCGAGGAAACATTAAACTAGCATTCATTTAATAACAGGGAGGAAAAAACTATTACAAGACTTCATTTTCACAGTTTCAATTGAATGTCTGGCTTTACCCATGCATAGTCATTCAGTTTAAACTGGACATGACTAGTTATTTTTAAACTAAACTAAAATCGTAAAGAATTTTATTTCCATAAAACTACATGTACATTAAATAACTATAATATATTTTATATATCTTTTTCATTTCATCTGTAAAGTATTAAACAAAATATTCGTAGCATGAAATTTTCATATAATTAATCATCTATAGTAGCATTGTATGTTTGTGTCTACTCCAAATGTCCAGATATTTCAGCAGCATTTTGGTGTTACATGCACGAATTATGGTAAGATGTCTTACACAAAAATGTAACTTTAAAATGAGGCATATGATCAAAACCAATACAATGCTATTATATAATATTATATTATTAGAGCACATATATTTTTATTTTTTCTGAAATATATACATTATTGTGACATGTTTAAAATACTACAAATAAATAATCTTTATATGTGTGCATCACATATGATTAGCTCCATAGTATATTCCTTTTGTGTCTTTTTGCTAGTAGTTGCTCTGCTCATGGAATGTAGAGTATGTAGACAGAGCAATGCTCATTTGAAGTTTTCAATATGTACAAGAGTCAGAATGAGTATTTCTTGGTACTTTAGTGCAAATGTGTGGTTACAAAGTGTGCAAAATGAAGAGATATCTACAACTGGTGTCGATATCATTTAATGGAAAAACTTTTCACTTGTGTTTTGCTAAGCGTGAGTGGTTCAATGGTATGTAAAGCTATTAGATGCAAAAATAATTTAAATCAAGGAAATTAAGGCAACCAAATGTAGTTATTGTGAGAAGTTAATATGATGTAATTGCCCATTGCCCATTGTTTTCTGATTCAATAATTTATAAACATTCGTATTCCTTTGTTGCATCGTCTATTGCAAATTGGCATAAGCAAAAGCAAGATATTATGGCACATATTCACGTAAATATTAACACACCTGAAAACATTCACCCTGATAGTCATTTCAATATAAGATATACATTAATTTATATTTCCTGTCATTCATGTATTCCATTTGTTTACACCATTACCTCTACCAATTTATACAACATTTACAGGGTGAGTCAAAAAAGGTAACCCAAACACATCTTAAAAGCTCAGTCATCCTGCATGGGTTTAGTGTCATATTTGGTACAATTAGGCCTTGTCCAATGTATTGTCATTCTACCAATTTCAGTGGTTTATCTTTAGTGGTCACGATTTTAATTATGGCCGTTTTACAAAACATGCCATAAATATGAGCCTCATGTCTGGAGGCCAACTTGAACGTATTTGGCGTAGTTGTTCACAACACACGCATAAATATCTTGTGTTATTATGCACCTCATTAAAATACTCAAATCTGATTGGTTAAGAGCTGCATGGTCTATTGCCATACGTTGCAGCAAGATCTCCTTCTATCCAGTATTGAAGCAACGAGATCTCCAACCATCCCGTATGCCAGAATACCTACCGAGGAAAAAAATACAAGGCGAGACGAAGTATTTGTTTATTATGGCTCTCATCTTCCTTCTTATCTCTTGTTTCAATGTTTTAAGGGTTGTAAGTGTAAAAATAGGTGCACAGATAAAAAAAATCTGGTTGGATTTATGTACAGTCAGTGGGGCACATCTCGGCATTTTGACCATAAAACCGTGACTAGACCAATGCATGAAACTTGGATGAATGAAACAACATTTAACAAGGTTTAATTGTGCCAAATATGATTTTCAGCCAACGCTGAATGACTGAGTTATTAACATACATTTGTTAGGGTTACCTTTTTGGCTCACCCTGTACATATAAAAGGTGAGCAAAAAGCATCCATATTTTTGTTTCGATTTTTTAATGCAAGGAAAAAGAATATTTCTGCAGGGCATGCAGATTATTGCTAAATAAAAGTTATTAAGATTTTTTGCTCACCCTGTATACCTGAATTATACATCAATTTCTCTTAAATGACAAGTTCCTTACGCAACTTAATTCTTAAAACTTTCGCACGCATACAATCTATACATTCATATCACATTAATACATCTTATTTTTTGACCGAGTATTACTAATAAAAACTAGTTTCACACTCGACTTTTTACATCACAGCTTTGACTGATGAGCAAATACTAGTAGTGGGCTATACAAATACCTATAGGATATTCCAAACTATATTTTATTTTAGAAACACCTTTAGACATATTATTGCACGTATTCCCCTCTTTGGCAGTTTAGCGTTATTTTACAAGGCAGTATATAACTACAAATACATTTGTGGTTTATGAATATTGAAAATATAAATTTACGATTTTGGATTGATTGTGAATGATAATTGAACACATTCTCGGTTGATAACACCCTTGCAACAAGTGACCTTGTTTGTATTTCTTCATATTGCAAAATTACGAGGATAAATCAAAGTTCTAATTGATTACTAGTAAAATGATCGGAATCTTCAATAAATGTACCTAGATATGTTTTAACGATACGTTATTTCTTTCCAAAACGTCCTCCTCGAGCGCCCTCTGGACTCATACAGAACAGTTGTAATCTTTGGGAACAAGCCTCGTTGCCATAATTAACATTGCAACTTGACAGAGGTCCGTACGCGATGGATGTACAGTTGTTACAATCTAGTGTTACATCCGAATTGCCACCCGATTTCTCACACTCATAGCAAAATGTATTCGGGATGCCTTTAAAGCCATTTTCTTCGTCAAAAGTTATTGGTTCATAATTTTCGTCATACGTAATTTCTTCAGGGAAAAATAAATTTTTGACCATTTTGTTGACATTCTTATGGAACATTTCTCCAATATTCCTCCGTTTTCTCTTTCCTTCAACTGGTTCCTCAGTTGGTGGTAGCTTAGTGACGTAACAATTGCTACAATGGGTGCCTGTAACTTCGGGTGGTTTTGGCCAGACAGTACAGGAGAGACACTGCAGTTCAGTGATGAGGCATTTAGGGGGTGGATCCGGGATCTTCACTGTGATAGAGAGAATGATGCCAATCACAAGGAATCCGACGCATACAAGGACAGCAATAGATCGATTGATGATAAGCTGTTTCAGTGGGAGATGCTTCTCAACTGAGGTTAGCTCCATCGGTGGTTGCTCAACGTCCATTTCAAACGTAGTTTTATCACCCTCAGCTACGCCATTCGATTTTGCTATAACAGTGTGAACAAAATATTTATTCATGATAAACACTTTACTGGAATTCTCAGAAAATTTGAACTTGAAAATGGGACGTCTCCCAAAATCAGTCAGAACTCTTTCTATAGTCTAGTTAGAGATACATCAAAAAGTACTATCATCTCCTCTTCGATGCCATAACCAATGTTATTGTCTTTGCGCTAATAGCAATTGTGGACTCACCTTCCAAATTAGCTTCTGCAGCCTTTTCATCTTCAGCAGTTGGCTGTACATCTTCAGCTGACTTGTCTCCTTTCTTCTTAATGCCTGCTCGTACTTGGGCCTGGTGATAATATTAAATTATTGAAACATTTATGAGACGTATAATATTTTATGATATTTCCAACTGTTATCTGACATGCTTATATACAGGATGTTCCGGAATGACTGTACCCGGCCCCTCCACAGTCAATCCCAGACGACATATCCTCGTAATATGTATTCCACAGTAAAGGTTATTCAGTTGTGGACCCATATATCAAGTGTTGGCATCATTGACCAGCACTTTATTTGTGTTTGATTCACGCCTGTTATGCTATTGTATGGATTTAAGGGGGGTACAGGGACAGGGTGCTATACAAAGCATAATAGGGTTAACAGACCGGTGACATCATTTCTGATGTTTATGCCCGAACATGTTAAAGTATAATATTACGAATATTAAGAACAAGGTAAGGTCGAGGAATCATTAAACATGTCAAGGTTTAGTTTTGTCTAATAGAAAATCGAAGGGGGTGCATCATTCACATAAAATCGACGTACCTTTTCTGCGAATTTATTCCAATCCAGTCTAATAATAATGATAGTAAAGCACACAGCCTGCACAAATGTTGCAACACAGTTTCCCCACCAGTAACCTAATTTATATGAGTACATGTATAACAGAATTGAATTATGAAAACAGTGTAACTAGGGAAAATTTTGACATGAAGATGTGCAAATATAAAATCCTAATATGTATATGAATTATATTTCAAATGTGCATGCTATGATTTGAGATGGTCTACCTGCAACCCGCATCTGTGTCCTTAACATCAGCGGAAGTCCAATGGGGAAACCAATGCAGAAGAAACCAACAAAGTTGACGATAGCTCCAATTTTCTGCAAGCCACAGCCCCTGAGGATTCCAGATAAAACACCCTACAAGCAATGTGACATAATCAGGGACTTGCATCATATATACATTATATTAATGTTTGGTGCTGCTAGTGCTAGCACTGTAACAGATTCACGTACTTGTACTTCTTATTGTTCTTGCATTGACTTCTGTAAGTCCATGCTTTCTGGTAAATAAATATAAGAAGATATTGTAGACCAACCTGACAGCCGTCAAAGAAGCAAGATATGGAGAGAATGAGGAGATAACCAGATGCCATCCCTATCACCTTCCTGAAATGTAATTAAGTTCTCATATGCATTAAATGTCTCTTGTTCTGTTGATGTTATAACAAAATGTGACCGTATGTATTGTATAATTGCATCGTATGTATTGCATAATTGCATAATATTATATAGTAAGTCAACTGAATCCAACAATAACAAAACACTCACAAATTAATTATTTTTGACCTGTCTACCTTATCTACAGTTAGTATAAAGTAAATAAGGAGGGTAAGCTATACGTTTTTAAGAGACTTGTACGTGGACGTGTAGAATTGTGGTCCTCTTGAGATTAATTCTCCCATTCGTATATCGTGTTTACTTGCCCTATTGAGTATAAATGCATAAGGAAATAGTACCCATGGTAAAATCAAATGAGCGAGAGTGATCTCTGGGGTCATAATGTTACACATCGTTCCCTATAAAATGTGTAGCTTAACATCCCTGTTGCAATGTTGAACAATGACTTACTTGTCAGGTGTAAATATCTGTGGGATATAATAGTTGAAAATAACGACAAGCAAGGAAGTGAAACCAGCGATGCATACTGAAATGAATAGTTTATAAAATACAAAATATGAAATACTAAAATCAAGCGTCTAAGATCTCAAATGGAATTCTTTATGAAAAAGATGTATTTCCATAGTAATTCTACTGAATAAATGAATCAAGTTATATGTGCAAATTACACATAGGTAACAGCATTGGTTAAAGCAAAGCATTTTGTATCATTAAATTATTTTACTGGAACCTATGTAGTTATATGTATTACTGACTGTTATTTTGAAAGCAAAAAGATGTTCAATCTCAAGTTGGAATTAACATAATATGGTATGAGAATGTGACAATCTACATTGTATGTGATTTATGTGACTGTAAGGTATAGAGACTAGAGAGGCTCTAAAAAATGAGTAACTATGGATAAAAATGGAATACACGTATGTATAATTTGAACGTACATGCTAAAAGCATGCAGACTCTGGAAGCGAGATGTGCGTCTCTTGGCTGATTAGCCCCTAGGTATTGCCCTATGCGTATACTGCCAGCCACACCAAGACCAACTGGAGTCTAAAATCAAAGAATTAAGAGATACATATGCCCTTTCAACTATCTCTATTTTCCACTTGAAAATGCAGAAGACTACCACAAAACTATATCATTTTTGGAAAAGTAATCGACCTTTTTCATCATACAAATAGCGTTGAAGATAGTAAAAACAACCCTTCGATTATTTTTCATTTTATAGAAAATATCCCATGAAGTTGGTCACTGGACACATACCATAAATGCTATCGTGGCCATGGTATAGCATACGGTCTGTGCTGCTAAATCGTCTTTACCCAATAAACCAGATAACAACGTTCCCAATTCATAGTTCCAGAACTCTATCCCCATCATGATCAGACCAGGAACAGCTAATTTTGTGAAAAGACCCCACTCTTGGAGGCATTCCATGGACCAGCCTAAAATATTCAAAGAGAATATTTTGAAACATATTCAAAAAACAGTACGAAGTTTTTTAATCATGTCGTTGGCTGGCAGCATTTAAGATTCACCCTATATACATCTAAACGTACAATATACTTGTGTATTAAAATTATTCAATAAATATAAGATCAGTGGATTACATGAATAAAAAAGCTATACTATAGGGCGACTTCAAAATATTTGTTATTCATTTATCGTATGAATTTAAGAACGTGAGCTTTGAAGTTTAACTCATTTCTCATAATAATGTCGTATTTTAAAACGATGGCAGATTATAATACTGACAAAATCATATACTGTATATACCTCCCCATGTTTCTTCGTGTATCCTTCTGATCTTCATATAGCATACAGATATGATGCAGCCAATCCAGAACGACGCCCCACATGCCACAGATGCCCCACTGAAATGAGAATGACAAACTCATCTAGTTGCTCATTCCAATATGTGTGTATCTTTAAAAATCTCAAGTTTGAAAATACCATTGATTAAACATTTTTAAATCAAACTCAACTTTCGGAATATTCCCAAAAAGTATTAGAGTCTAATCCCTAGTCGACCAAATACTTCTTCATGATCGGAAAATGTCATTACTTACTCTAATTATACTCATTCAATGACTGAAAACGTATCCATTGTATAGATCAAATTTTCAACTTAGAAACTACCTGACTACAATGACTTTTATCAAAAATTTTAATTTCCTTGATCATTCTGAGGCAATTCTGAAGTTCTCTGGCTTTAATTGAGTAATGCATAATCTTGGTAAGGACTTACGCCACGTTCCACTTGAAACCAAACAGGAATATGGCATGAAGGGCTACGTTTATTACATTCATGATGGCCCCTATCCACAAAGGAGGCATTACCAAATTCTAGAAAATAAACATAAAAATAGTACTCTGAAGATATCTATACATATAATCTAATAAGTTTAAAATACTGGTACAAAAGAGGCCATGGTGTTACATTACAGGGCATCATCCATTCAAACATGTACATTAATACATATGAATGGAAATAAATAATGAATTGGAAATATAAATATTATAAAAATAACTTGTCGCAGTGATTATTTTATTTTAACAGAACATTTTGTAAATATGAAAAATTCCTATGACATTTTTGATGAAGGCCATTTAAAAAAAGCTTTGACACTAGTTTGAGAACATCCGCGGGAGTACATCTGTATAAATTAAATAGTACAATGCACGTACAGTAGGCCTATATGTCTCACGAATGGTTATGATAAAAAGTAACCGTCAAGGTTGAAACACTTGAAATTGTTGTATCTTGTATAGCAAAGTGCATGTAAAAGACAATACAAGTTGATAACGAAATATAGCATGGGAACTGTTATGTGAGAACTATGGACGGGACAATCCTATATACACTTCTCTACAAAAGTTTGGCAACTAGAAATCCCCTTTGACCACTTCCTAAAGCAAGATTAGTGGCAAATTTTTTCAAAGCCACTCATTTTCGACATCTTGAAATTAATGAGAAGATTAAGATTCACACGGATAATATCACACTTATGGCCATGGGAGGATGTAGAGAAGTTATGGAACTGTATATTTGCACATTGGGTACAGAAATAACTAAGATAACACAAAATGTAATTGTGGATGACTTGGTTTTATGAAGTATTTCAAAAATTACATGCAGCATTGGTACGGGTATAATGGACTCCCCTTGGGATGGACTCTTACTCGACATACTGTCTCGTGTGGTTATCATAGTTAACCATATTTATAATTCTTTAGAAGATTTTTTCAATGGTTGTGCTAAATTATGTTATGTTTACCTGATTCTGCATGTACTTGTTTATGATTTGGAGCAAAACCAATCCCTGAAAATAATAGAGCGAACTATTGTATATATAGGTAGAGCCTTTAATTTAAGGATTCAAAGAGATGCCAAAAATATCTAATAATTTTAAGCATCATATTTACGGTTAATTTACCAGTATGTTCTTTCTTATGTCATAATAATATTTAATTTGAAATCCGTGATACATTTTTTAAATTCTCTAGTTATTTAGGATCGGACTTTTAGGAATGCTGAATGTATGTAGAATTCTTCAAAAAAAGATAAGAAAGCATTAATAGCAAAGAAATGAGAAAACATTAATATTTAAATATTTCTTGTAAAGAACAACAATATTAAAAACTATGTCTTGCTTTTTATTATATATTCCTAAGAAAGGAGATATACTTACAGGCAGACCCGGAATAAAAATTATGACGTATATACCTGCAAGGCTGAAATGAAAAATGAAAGATCTGTATAAGTTAGTTTGTAAAATTGAAAAAACAGTTGAAGTCTCATCTTCTCTATGTTCCAAACCACAGAGACATATAATTTATATGTCTCTGTCCAAACAGACGTGAGGCCAGGTGTCATTTGTCCCCCAGTGTCCATCGATTCTCATGGAGCAAAGCCTCATCGCATCAGACAAGGTGTTAAATCTATTGAGCCGTTTGTCTACTTTGGGGTTTGCTATGTAATGCCACCTTAACAAAACTGCTTACTTGGCTACATCAGGTGGGAGTTTGATGGCCTTCATGATCGTCTCTGTGTTGAGGTAGAGTGCCCAGCATGGCAGACAGAACAGCATAACAATGATTGTACCTACAAATATTTGCGTCATTTCATTCAATGTTTTAAAAAAATGTTTTATATCTATCTAGGAAGAACTCATCAACAAATGTAAGAAGGCCATGTCGTCTCATTAAAAGAAGTTAATCATTCGGGTCACCCCACTGTTTAATTTCACAGATAGAACCACAAATACAATTAACGTAACTTTGATATTTTAAAATGTTTCAAGAGATTTCGTAGGTGCGTTTATGAAATCATTTTGAATGCTTCTGCCGTTTCTTAGTGCTGGCTTACCTCTTTGAATTATTATACCAACACGTTTCTTGTTTGCGCCACCAAATGTCTGGGAGAGCAATGTATCCAAAGCAAACGTTAATCCAAAACCCACGGACACACCAGTGAGGTTGATGAACTGAAATTTAGGAAATTGGGCATTTTGAAGGTCAATGTCACACCTAGATAGTACTAAATTTTAGTCAATATAAGACCTGTTAACTGTTGTTTGATAATATTTACCGAAATAATGGCATTATTTGTGCAATCTGATCTAGCATGCGGTGAAAAGTTGCTCAACAGGTATCAGAATTGCACTTACTGTTACACCGATGGCCACTCCATCCAACTGAGCTTTACCCAATACTCGTCCAGAGAAAATCAAACTGACGAAGATGATGGAATAGGAGAAAAACTGGCTGAGGACCTGCAATTAAAACAGGAATTGAGCATTATTGCAGAACTGGCTGAATTGATTAAAGACATCATGTTTTTTGTAGATAGTATACAGTGTATCACCGATATGATTTAAATACGTTCCATTACAATTATACCAGTCTAAACTGGCCACGGAATTACTTCTTCTGGTATCTTTATTTATACTTACCACTGGCCATGCGAGAATGAAAAGTTCTTTCAACTCCTGTTTAAACCCCCATGGAAATATTCCCCTCACGGCCCGACCAACTCGCCGTAATGTCCATGGTTCGCTGCTTTGTTTGGGGAGATCATGTGGTGGACTGGAGGACGCTGAAATTTGACCATAATATGATATCATTGAATAAACCACCAATGGGATATGAAGAAATACATTTTATATAGCAAACTTTGAGAATGTTTCCCACATTCCTAGTGCGTTCATATTCTTGTATCGATACCTTTACTGTACTAATATCCCCTCTTCTCTCTTGTTCAGGAACTAAAAGAAGGTGGGCGTAAAGGACATTAATGCAGGCCTAATACATATGACATGTGGGCCGCTGTTATTGAGGTATTGTTGTTTTCTCTGTTGCAAGGCTAATGAACGCGCTTTTCTCTAAATAATGTCACCAAACATGCGGTGTCGGTGGGTTAAACGATCCATTGGAATCTTGTAAATATACCAAAAATAAATAACAAGGCACAGACGTGAACAATATCGTACCTAAAACACAGCAGTGTGACAGTGAAGAATTTAGGACGGAAAATCCAAAATGGCCACCTTAAAATTTACCCAAAATGCCCAAAAAGTAATCAGATCTTAACTTTGATACGTAGAAACATCCCTGAAAATTTCAGATGAATCCATCAAATGGTTTGGCTGGAAACCTGTATACAAGTCTTGAAAGTGAAGATTTTAGGACGGAAAATCCAAAATGGCCACCTTAAATTTTACCCAGAATGCCCAAAAACAAATCAGTTCTTAGCTTTGATACGTAGAAACATCCCTGAAAATTTCAGATGAATCCGTCAAATGGTTTGGCTGGAGACCTCTAGACAAGTCTTGAAAGTGAAGATTTTAGGACGGAAAATCCAAAATGGCCACCTTAAAATTTACCCAGAATGCCCAAAAACTTATCAGTTCTTAACTTTGATACGTAGAAACATTCCTGAAAATTTCAGATGAATCCGTCAAATGGTTTGGCTGGAAACCTGTAGACAAGTCTTGAAAGTGAAGATTTTAGGACGGAAAATCCAAAATGGCCACCTTAAAATTTACCCAGAATGCCCAAAAACTAATCAGTTCTTAACTTTGATACGTAGAAACATTCCTGAAAACTTCAGATGAATCTGTCAAATGGTTTGGCTGAAAACCTGTAGACAAGCTGAAAAGTGAGACGCCGCCCGCCCGCCCGCCCGCCCGTCAAGCTGACGACAATATCGTACCTTTATTAGGTACGATAAAAAACATTACACTAAACTAAGCAAATGACTTATTTAATCAGCAAATGAGTGTCAGTTTACTAGTGTCAATACGATCTGTGCTCAAGAGAAGGGTGACCTGAAAATCAGCAAGTCAACCTAATTTACAAGGCTTCAGACATTCTGACAAGCTATATCAACTGATAAGAAAGGGAATTATCCTCAAATATTATATATATATCCTAAAGGAGCACGGAAAGTATCGCAACAGATTTCAGACAGTCATAGTTGAATTTTGTCTGTGTTCCTGAGGATTTAAAAAGGTGCATATGTTAGGCCAATGCATTAACCTACAGGAAAAAATGCTCATAGAGATGACAAGATAATTTGGATAGGGAAGGTGCAATTAACCCACCCACTTTTTTCTGAAATGATCCTGATTTTCAACCCATTCCTCCCCTCCTTTTTCAATTTTTGTTGCATCAATATGTTGCAATTTGAGACACAGTTAACCCCATTTAAAGGATAAGTAATTCCTTTCAGATAACAGTGGAAAAGTGGAAAACAAAAAAAGTGTTATTTTCCCATAGAGAAAACTCTTGTGATCCATTGCTTTCAGCTTAATTTTGGTCACCCTTAATGGACATCTTTTTGTGTCAAAATGCAACATATTGATGCAACAAAAATTGAAAAAGCAGGGGTGGAAGGGGTTGAAAATTAGAACGTTTCAGAAAAAACATGTGGGTGGGTTGTTTGGATCTTCCTTGTCTCAAAGTCGAAATTATTTTATCATCTCTGAGTACTTTTTCTAGAAGTATTGCATTGACCTAGCATATGCACCTGTTTTAATCCTCAGAAAATAGCCAAACTCCAATATATGACTGTCCGAAATCTGTAGCAATTCTTTCCGCCCTCCTTTGGTTAAATAGATTAGTCGATTAAACATTATCACCAATTAAAAGATGGATACAATATAGTAACTGAATTCATTTCAGAAGTCACAATCATAGTTTGAATTATTCCTAAAAGTGGAATAAGAGAAACTGGCGTTGCTGTCGACTTACTTCATTTAAAGTTTTTGTTCATCAGAGTTCATATTTATTACGGAAACTGACACTGGTTAAAATGTCTGTAAATGTCGCTCGTGTATCTGGTTCTAAATTCAATCGGAAAGAAACATTGGGCCTAATATTTCCATAGGAGCCATTGAATCAGATTAATCAATTCATATAATGTTTTCGTGGGAAGGTTTTCACTTACTGACTGGCGGAGTATCCACCCCCTTTTCTTTATCCTCTTTCAGATTTACTTCTTGCAAGGTTGTCGGGGGCGACGCAGCCGACATGTCGTCTGTTAATCAATGGGTGTTTTCCTGGTACGAAATCGAGATTCACTGGGCGCTGCAGACGATTTTAGATCCCAAATTGTGAGAAATTATGTCGGTCACTTCGTGACCTCCCTTGTACCTTGTAGATCTTCATGAAGTAAAAACTGACAAGTGGAGTGCATCTTTTAAATATTCAAGATGGCGGATAGTCAATTGTCTTGAATTGTGGTTAAATGATAACGTCTATGACATTATCTGTAAAATATATCAATACTACTATTAGTGGATGGTACATTTGGACAAATCTGGTCGAGGTTTTTGATTATACTATCTAGTTTCAAATACTTCCATACAGCAGGAATGCATGTATAAGTACTAAGTAGGTGGATGGACTTAAAACACGGGAAAATTGTTAATAAAATAATCTAAATCGAAATAATCATTTGAGGAAAAGTAATCCCAATAACGGCTTGGTTCTTTTGTGAACAATGGAATAAAACATTTGAAGAAATTTTGTAACAAAAGGTTTTGTATAGCCATGTATTCCAAATGTTCCAACCCAGGTCTTGTAACCTTTTTTTATTATTAGCAGTCAACATGATAATTATACTTGTGAGAAACAAGATAAGCATTTTCTTCAAATCAAAATTAAACATTAACAAAATCTTAATATTTAGACTTAAGTTTATTGTATTTTATCACACAATGAAGTCAGACAAAGTTGTCTTTAGCAACATTTATTGAATTTGCACAAACATTCTGCATATTATATTGAGCCCACATAAAATTAGTATGTACATAAATAAAATAATTACCATCTTACTTTTGGGACAATATTATATTCCCAATACATAAAACCTGTATACTGTTAACATCACTCTTAAGAATAATCGCACTTCATCGCAGATTTAGTGACATCATTCAAACTATACAACTTTGTTGTACTCCATTTAATATACACTCCCCTCCATAAGTTTGTCAACCTTAAATCCCCCATTTACTTAATCTGCGATGAAAATACTTACAATATTGATTGAAACTTAATTTGACTTTATTTCCAATACCTCCAAATTTTCTCAATTTTTTCTTCAATTACAATAGGTCGAAAATTGATGATAAATTTGATGAATTTTTTAAAATCGACATTCCCATGTTAACCAATGGGAAATGGTAGGTTTGCCGCAAGTCATATGATAGAATATCCATTCATTCGAATCCTTGCAAAAAATACAAGTTAGGTAGACAATTGAATTTGCTAACTTTATTTAACAAAAAATTGATACGTTTCTTCAGGTTCAACAAAGTTATATGTCTTTAAAGTCAAAATTGTTTTTCAAAACACCTCTCCCATTGAAATAACACAGGAGGCGGAAAATGATTTTCAAAAATGACTTTGAAGCTCTGTAACTTTAGTATTCATTAAGTAAACTAAACACTAAGTGTCCAAAAAGTTAGACAATTCAATTTTCTAAATAAAAACATTTTTTGCTGATTATTTTACTGAATAGATTCATCAAATCTATCATAAATTTTCGACCTTTTGTAATTGAGGAAAAAAATTGGGAAAATTTGGAGGTATTGGAAATAAAGTCAAGTTACGTTTCCATCAATATTATAAGTTATTTCATTGCAGCTTAAGTGAATAAAAATTCAAACGTAAAGAGGCTTTAACACGTAGTTCAAAGGGGGAGATAAGGTTGCCAAACTTATGGAGGGGAGTGTAAGTACATTTACATTTCAAGGGCAATACAGTACATTGCAATACAATAGGGGATTATTATCATCAGGGCCAAGCAATACTTGCAATGCTAACTACAGTGTAGAAGGAATTATTGTCCCCAGTGCAAAATGGTCCTGATTAACTATTTTATCCTTAAAAGGTAAGACAATAGAGAATTACACCAACAGTTAGGGGGGGGTAGATCTGCCTCTCCCCCTTGCATGAAAAAAGTGATAAAATACCCCCTAACCGTCAAAGGGTTAAGTAAGACTCCGTATGAAGGGGACAATTATTACAAATAATACTACCACTCTGACTTCACTTATTCCAGTATATCATCCCTTATCATCTTATTTATATTTTCATATATAGCCCTTAAGTAACAGAGTGAAGTTAATCAAGCTTATCTAATTTTGAATAATTAAAAAATGTCAGGAATAAGTAATACTAATATCTTTTCATTTTAATTGAGATTCATTGAGGGATCATATCAAAATCAATATGTTGTGCCCAGGTTCCGAGAAATGACAAATCAAAATATTGTTCAACACCTTCACTTCGCAAAACTGTAACCCCCACCCTCTCAACTATCAACAATATTCAGTCAGAAACATTTTGATGTTGTAACATGATCCCTTTTCTTAAGTAATCACACAAGAGTAGTATACAAAATACAACATCTCAATATAGAAGTGTAAAATCTAAGTAACTGCATCATGTAAAATAACATTGCATTCACTTTAATAATCTCTTGTGAATCTCCTAAGCACCTCTCAACCACTTCTCACATATTTGATTCGTTGCTAGTAATGAATATGATTTGGAATGGTAACATATAAATTAATAATCTCAACAAAGATATAACTCAAGGCAGTAAGAGTTATAAAAAACAAGATAGGGGTGGGTGCAAAAGGTTAGGAATGAATTCACGTTGAGCACATGGGTTAAGGATATAAGTTAAGGATACAAGGGTTAATAAAAATGGAAAATATAAGTAGATCAATATGCAAGGTCAAGGAATTTATGTGGTCTGTTCACACAAAGACAGATCATCTATGAATAAATATAAGTAAGGGCACCATCATTCAAGGGAAATGGTGTCAACATTTAAGATTTAACACATCCCTTATATTAATTGATGCCAATAACTCATGCATTTCCTCACTAATTAATCTTGGGTTTTCATGATTAAATATTATTAATCAATGTCATGGGAGAGTGATCAGATGTACATGTAGTACGTTTGCAAAGTACTACGCCATGCCTTTACATTAATCAATTTACATATACACAAAGAAAGTCCTGAACAATATTAGTTAGTTCCATAATACTAAAAAGTAATAAATAAAATGTTATAAAGTGTCGCAGTACTATCAAGTTATAGTAATTTTTCACTTAATCATAGTAGGTGTTTCAATAAAGTTAAACATAATCACTATAATCAGTATTCAGTGGTCCAGTAGCTATAAAACATGCATCTGTTAGTTCAATTACAGATGTCAATGGTTTTAGAATCGGTCTGATATAAAACCTGAATACTACATAAATCTCATGCAACATATCTATCTCAGAAATGAATGACTCCTTTAGATGATACTTTAAACTGCAAGTATTCTTTATAATGTCCATCAATTGTTTTGATTCAAAACATTCAGCGATTGTTTTGATTGAGCGCCATTAATTCAGTTTCCTCTTCTTCGCTCTCTGAGGGTGCGGCTCTCACCTCCTGATACCATTGGTCAGTGAGGTTGTTCATCTGCCTCTTGCCTTCACGCACCTCCTAAAATTCATTATATATTTACACATATAGTACTTTGATACTTCAGATACAACTGACTGAATATATGTTTTTTATTAAATGTTTTCTAAGATCCGTAAAAGCAAATAAAGAAATTCCATTAAGAGCATTTTCTGAATAATGTACAACTGTAGTATGTAGACCTGTACTGTAAACTATACATGGGGAACAAATGTACTGTAAAATATACATGCAGAACTAATGTACTGTAGAATATACATGTATTAAAAATGTACTGTAGAATATACATGTATTAAAAATGTACTGTAGAATAGACACGTATTAAAAATGTACTGTAGAATATACATGTATTTCGAATGTACTGTAGAATATACATGTATTACAAATGTACTGTAGAATATACATGTATTTCAAATGTACTGTAGAATATACATGTATTTCAAATGTACTGTAGAATATACATGTATTAAAAATGTACTGTAGAATATACATGTATTTCAAATGTACTGTAGAATATACATGTATTTCAAATGTGCTGTAGAATATACACGTATTTCAAATGTACTGTACCTGTTGAGTAAACCTTCTTGTTAAAAAGGGGATCAAGTATTTAGCATCTATCTTCATAAAGCCTTTTAGGTGTGGCTTTACAAAGTTCACTTCATATTCTTCCTCAGTAAGTTCAGACAAGTGCTCTGAGTCAACGGCATCACCCTGTAAGGTTAGAGTCAATGTTTCAAATCAATGACACAAGAAACATTATTTGTATAATGCATTATAAAATGAACCATGGAAAACCCATTATATATTGCACTAGAGGGAAGTCATTGCTTTAACATTATCAATTGGTCATTTGTTACCACAAATTCTTAATATGTCACTATTCTATGTATTTGTATGTAGTAGGGGCTGTCATATGGATTTCAGACCTCATGGTCAATTCTGAATTAAATTTAAATTTCCGTGTAATATTTCTGAACATGCTGACCAACTGATCAAAATGATCAGACATATGTTTGTGTAGTGTGGGTTGTCATAAAGGACTAGAACTTTTCTAGGACTTACCATTTCTTTTGTTTTACTGAGTGATACCTCTTTACCAGGCCTGCGCTTCTTGGTTCTCTTTTCAGCCTTCAACAACTAGAACACATCCAGATAAGTGAATGATTAAGACAAGAGGAGTGCTTCATATGAATCACAGTAAAACCTATATCATCTGAACGCCACCAGGACAGGCCAAAAGTGTTGGATTAGTAGGTGTTCATATTTTAATGGTTTCTTAATATTCTAGTCTTTTGGAGATAACAAAATTGGGAATGAGAAAAGGTGTTCACACGAGAGGTGTTTGGATGAGAGGTGTTTGGATGAGAGGTGTTAAGATGTACAGGTTTTACTGTAGTTCCAATTTGACAAAATGTAAAAGCTTTTGTTGTGTTCCAAAATCACAATTGACAATTAATGTGAACTAGAAACAGAACAAAATTCGTGATTGTGAAAAAGTCCATTTAACCTCCATAATTTACAAGAGAATTTCAACTCATATGGATCCTGTTAGAAATATTTTAAGTTATATTTTCTAGAAGCCAATTCAGAGTTTTAGTTACATTGTATATGATAAAAAACAATTGCAATAATTTTGAGAATATATTTCTGAGAAACATGCAGGCCACACAGACTGGATTTGACTCACCTTCATTAGAGGCATGGTGGATCCCCCAAGGAATAGCACAGTGAACAGGACAATGATAAGAGTGGTGGAGATTAGCACCTGTTTTGTTTCCTTATCAACGTCTAAATGAATGGAGAGGGCAAACGCTATAGCACCTCGTAAACCTGAAATAATATTCAAACAGGTTTGATATTTATGTGCAGTCATCATAATTTGAAAGAATTGTATAAAATTTGTTAAATGAGACGAAATAACGCAGATGCGAGTAGTTAGTTACCAGTTTCACCACCAGGAGGCTCGTTCGGGACAGATAACATGGCGGGTATAGTAGAAAGTTTGCTTTAACTTAAATTTCATCTGTTTTAGTAGTTCAATTTCCATATAACCTTTATGTATCTAATAGTTATGCAAATTAAAATGTGTCCTGTAAAATAAAATGTTATATGTCCAATACAATAAAAGATATTTCACTTTTTATGATTTTGTAACATGGTGTCTATGGGGAATCAACCTGAACTAGAAGTCACATTTTCAAAAAAATGATAAAGTTCAAAGTTGATAAACAATTTTCGAAACTATATTTCTAGATGTACTTTTACATGTAGATTTCAAATATGACATCACTTTGACTGAATTTGAATATTTTTGAATACTTTGAATATTCAATGACGTAAATTAAGATTATTTCTACTCGCATTTAGTCTATTGCACTGTGAGGATTGTTTAAAATGTAATGTCTTTCATCAGCAGATAATGTGGTCCAACAAAAATAATTGAAACTGATATTAAAATTTACAATCTGACCTTCATGAGGAATGTCGATTTTAGTCTTTACTTACCACTAAACCACATTATAAACTGCATTTTCTTAGTAATTTTGTGCTCTCTGAAGTAGTTCATTATAAATGAGAGTGGGAATATGTTCAACCCTCTGGCTATCAAGATTAACACCTGGAAATAAAATTTTGTGTATTTTAGAATCTAGTATTATTTCTTTATCGGTATAATTATGACAAGCATAGAACAAGGCATTAACATACAAAATGTCACCACCTGCCATATGTTACAAACACCGAACAGCAACTGCCGAAAGCCAAGAAAGACCAACCGTTGAACACCATCCACAAAAAGTTGGAGACCATAACAATATCTCTCCACTTGTGATGACATAATAAACGAGCCAAAATTTATATCATATCATATATTTTTTGTTTGAACATTCCACTTCAATGTCAAAAGAATGTACTTACTATACTCCATATGACTAGGGCAGGCTTCACCAAGTGTTTGAAACTAAATATTGCCATTCCTAAATAGGCAAACACAACGGTTTCTAAAAAATAAAATATTCACTAATCAACATCGAGAAAATGAAAAAATTCATTTCTATTTTATTTAATCTACGAGACAACATGTTCAGTTATGGATGACACTTATTATAATTCTTTAAAGTTCTATTTCTAATAATCTGTAGATCATATTAAAATAATATGCGTAGTATCACTGTTCAATTCGATAAAAGATGCACGATTTTCGTTTATTGTGCATTAGTAGTTTTTCCAAATCATATGTAAAATCTTTGGTGCTGAATACTATACTTACCAAGTTACCATATATAAAACTATGATACTGAATAACAATACTTAATATACATATATGGTACTGTCTTTATTTACCATATATGAAATCTATGGTACTGAATGTATGTATTTACCACATATGAAATCTATGGTACCGATCATCTCTTCTTACTACATAAAGAAGATATGGTACATTTGACTTAGCACATATAAAAGCTATGGTGCATTTGACTTACCACATATAAAAGCTATGGTAAATTTGACTTACCACATATAAAAGCTATGGTACATTTGACTTACCACATATAAAAGCTATGGTACATTTGACTTACCACATATAAAAGCTATGGTACATTTGACTTACCACATATAAAAGCTATGGTACATTTGACTTACCACATATAAAAGATATGGTACATTTGACTTACCACATATAAAAGCTATGGTACATTTGACTTACCGCATATAAAAGATATGGTACATTTGACTTACCGCATATAAAAGCTATGGTACGGAATGTCTGCTGCACAGTGATCTGTGTGACAGGAGATAAGTTGTTATGTGTATAATGGGACATGACAATGCCACAGAATAATATCGCCATAATGCCTGAAAATACGACAACATATATTTGAAATTCAGTTTATACTATGTTTATTCATTTCTATTTTGAAACTAATAGCTAATATATGTAACAATTGATTTAAGCCTAGTCAAAGCATCTTCATGTTAATGATCTAATATAATAGTTCTTAAAAGATACTTTGTAAGTTTAAAATCCTTGACACTCAAAAAAGTTCTATTTTGACCAGTTTCTGAATATTTAATGGAGTTAAAATTTAGATCTTTGAATATTCACTGAATAATAAAAATGTTCAAAAATACCTGATAAATGTAATCCCTCTGCTAGACCATAGGGGGCATATGAAAATACTAACATGATACCAAACTCTAAGGATGGTGTCTTTCTTAAATCTATGAATTTTAATAAGTATAAAATGTAAAGGAATATAACTTTTCTGTAATTAATCAAAGCTGATTATTATACAAGTAGTAGTTTATAAATTGATGAACCCTTCTATACATGTCACACCTTAGCACTACAAAAGAAAAGAATAAATATTTCATAAAAGTGTCATTTTTTTAATCATGTGAATGACTCCAAAAAACTGTACTGTGTAGACAAAAGTGTTCAGTAAATGCAAATTCAGTTTGAATTAATATTATCTCCCTTTCACAAGTCTGAATGAACAGAAATAAATTGGGTGAATAAGGTTGAAGGTTAAATCAAAATAATTTAATATTGAACTTAATACTCCCAATTGAAACCCAAATATTGAGTTTTCAAAGGATATAATTGCACTAATAAGACCAAAGGTCACTCCTATTCCTGCAGAGGCAAAGAACATCAGACAGAATCTGCCAACAGAATGAAAGAATGCTTCAGCCCCACCCATCTGAGATTCTCTCAGCTCCAACACAGTCCTGAAAATAAATACTAACATCTGACTATTTGAACCATAAAGGTTACTTGTAACCTAGTCAAACTCTACATTTGTTCTATTGTATGTATTATATATATATGAAATAAACGATTATTAAAAAAACATAAGGGTCAATGTCTCAAGGAGGAGCCTAAGCGTCTTTAGATGTTAATCTATTAAAATATTCAATATGTAAATAATCTTATTCGCCTAAAATGGTGTTAAATTAAAAGAAATAATACTAATATGATAAACTTTGACAGGCTAAAAGTGTACATTGTTCATACTAATATAATATAGGTAAATAGACATACGTTGTTAGGACGATGGAGACAGCATCATTGAGTACACTCTCACCAAACACCAACATGTACAGCACAGGATCGACATCAATGGCATTCAATATGGCTAATGTTGCCACAGGATCAACAGCTGAGATCAGAGAGCCAAATGCAAAACTTTCTACCAGGTTCAGTCTGTATGCCACATCAGCCTGGAGAAAATACAGAAAAGGTCTATATTATTCAAAGTATGCCATTCTATGGACACAGTATCTGTCAGTATATTTAAAAACACATTTATACCATTCTATGGACATTATACTATAACTATGTACAACAATGTGTTTTGAAAACTGCCATTCTTTGGACATTATTGCTTTATACACCAAAATATTTTAAAATATGCCATTCGATGGACCATATTACTTTATACACCAAAATATTTGAAAATATGCCATTCTATAGAAAATATTACTACATGTACAAAAGTAGGGGTTTCACTAGAATTTCTCACAACAGGCTAAATAAATGAAAACACCAGGCAAAATTAATAGAAATCTCAAATTTAACATGGAAAAGTCCCTAAAAACAACAGGCGATTTTGTGAAAACAACCAGTGAAAATCGCCTGTTGCCTGCTGCTAATGAAACCCCTGATAAGGGTTATGTACTGGAAGTTTCTGAACTTTGGCAAATTGAACAATGTGATTGGTATGGGATAAACAGATCATCCTATAGTCGGTTCAGGATATTGGGATTATCCCTTGGCCAATATAATATATCTACCCTCGGGACCTACGGCCCTCGGGCAGATATATTATATTGGCCTCGGGATAATCCCAATATCCTGAACCTCATATAGGATAATCTCTATATATCATGAGGTCATAAAATGGTTGATTCCGTATGTCATGTTTATACTCAAGTGAGTATATGATATATTCACGAGTGACTGAAGTGACTGATATACTCTCAAGAGTTGTATATGATGAGTGTTGGTTTTATATGTAACATTTAACGGGAATTAAACGTTAATAAAATAATGTTCACGGCTTCAGTCCATAATAGTATTACTAAACATAAAATTTGTGTAGATGACACAACTTCTAAGTTTATTTTATCTTCCTTTTAATTGGTATAAGATACATTTTGCATAATTGTTATTTCATCTCGAGCACTGTTATATATTATATGCATCTCAAAATTGTTCTTTAATCAAGCTAAAATAGTTCCTCCTTTTTAAACTATGGTTGTCTGACCACTCATCTGCGTCATTCTAAATAAAGCTGTGTGATATTTTTAAAGCTAAAAGTTATCCTATTCAAAATCACATCTTCATGATGATTATATTGTCCTGAGAAGTTTGTATGATTTTCTTTTAAAAGCGAAAGCTATTATGTTATTTAAAAGTCATACATCAGTATATATAGAGGTTATTTAATGGGAGGGATGGAATATGGATTTTATTCCGAGGGAAAATATGATATTGGCCAAGGAAAATATCATATTGACCGAGGGCGATAGCCCGAGTGTCAATATGATATTTTCTGAGGCCAATATCATATTTTCTCAAGGAATAAATCCATATTCCATCACGACCATCAATAACCTATTTATTTCATAATATTTTAATATTTAATATTTGTCACAGTTATAGACCTTTGTCACAGTAATAGACGTAAACTAGATGATAATAATTTCAATAATTTCAATTTTCCAAACGATTTTTTACTTCCTGTAGAGATGTGCTAGACGAAAAGCGTAAAACTCAAGAGAAATTACCGGGAATATTTCTGATACGGGATCTGATACGGGATTATTGCTGATACGGGATCCAATACGGGATCTGATACGGGATTTTGGCTGATACGGGATCTGATACGGGATTTTTCAAATAACACTTTTATTCCCTGTTATTTTCCCAGGGAAAACATGTTATTATGGAATAAATACAGTTCTTGGAGTTCTTGGAATAAGGGCGGATCTCAATTTAAATAGGTTGATCTGATTGGATAGAGATTTTTGGGGACAGCTTAATTTATGGGGCACTACCCTTGCCTCTCCTGTAAACACGTGTCTGCATTGGCAAACAAAGGAATGTGTACAGTGATCACTTTAATTGCTGCAGTGAGGGGGGGGGGGGTGAATATAATCTATTCCTGTGGTCAGAAATAAATGTTTCTCCAGGAACTGTCGATACACATCAGATCAAAGTTAGTTACAACATTTAATTACATTTACACGATTAATAAACAATGCATATCCAAGCATTTAAAAATACATATTTAGTTTCACTAAACTACACCTAAAATATTCTTTGTCTGTGGGTGGGATGATTTCACCAAGGAGAGAATTCTCACAGATGTGCATGTGCACCCTGGGACAATAGCAGTATATTTGTCTTCCAATAAACAAAGGCTTCATAATTAAATAATTCAGAGTGGCATCCGAACTGATAAAATTGATAGTAAACAAAATATGAAATGTCAGCCTCGTTTGATTTGTGGCAATTAATAAATTCGAGTGAAAGAGTAAATCTGAACAACATGCTACTGAGCGTGTGAATTTAATATTCAGCTCTGTTTTACAAACATTAGAATCTTTATGACAAAGGGCTATAATGGTCAGAGCATTGAATTCAGATCTACATGCAATGATTTATGAACTGGGAATTTATGAAACCAACATTTGTATTTGACTCCATTAAAATAGTGAACATTTAATAATGACCCAGTCCAAACATTTTTGATTTCCCTAAAATATAAATATAAAACAGAAATAGTGCATTTCTGTTACACTGCTCCCCCCTTGGTTTGATCGTCCCGATCAAAAACATAAACTGTACAATGTTCTCAAACATAAAAAATCTACCACCATTACAACATACAAGTGCATTCAAAGACAAATGTTCACCAGTGTCTAACCGACCCTTAAGGTGGTTGGAAGGCAGGTGTGTAATGATATCCATGATTTGATTCAATTTTCGCCGCATCATTTGCCATTACAGACTTACGTTTTGATAAGCCTATGTGAACACTTCCTACTACGCAATCAGTTATCAATAAAGGGGTATCCCCATATATACTCTGTACTCCATACATTATAACTTCAATGTTAGTTGAGGGTACTGTTATCTGATTATCAAAAAAATATCCTACATGAAGTTTTGATATATTTTCGGGTCCATCATACTTTATATAAGCTGACCCCTGACCCTCAGGCTCAGCTACTGCTCGTTTCCCGACCTCCAATTCTGATTCAAATTTCTTGGTGATGAGCCCCCTATAATGGGCTTTGGACACTCTGCTATAACATGCCCATACCGGGTACAGTTAAAACATTTAATACGATGATTATGAGGTTTGGGATAATCATATGCGAAGGCTGCTAAATTACTCTGCGTTGGAATAGGATCAAATTTTGGGAGATGTCTTTCATCAGTATATGAGGCAAGATGCTCCATTGCTTGACAAAATGTATGTTTAAGTTCTTTGAATTCTTGTACTCTTTGGCCCATCTGGGTATCAATAACAGGATCTTCTTGCGGCTGCATGCTTTCCAGGCCTTTCTGATAGTCACCGGATCCATAATCTGACTCGTATTCCAATCCAACGCCTACTGCTTCATCTATATCATGGGGGTTCCGATTCTTGATGTATTTCCTCATATCTGTGTCCTCAAGGGCATTATAAAATTGATTTAACGCTATATCCATACGTAGTTCATATGGCCACTTCGAGTAGGCCCTGTTCGATAACCTTTTGATATCCTGCACCAATTGTGATAATGTTTCATTAGGATTCTTCCTTCTGGCCTCTAGTAAATTAAGGAAGGTGTCGCCTTGGCTTGCTGGGTCAAAACGCTGTTCCAAATGATGTACAATTGATTCAAAATCCTCACGTTCATTACCAGGCATATCAGTGAGTACAGATAATGCATCACCCTTAACAGCACAACTCAGTTCTAAGGCCATTTCATCATAGCTCCAACCATTTGCCTTGCTCACAACCATAAAGTGAGTTTTGTAGTCAAGCCAGTCTCCACTGCCATCATAGCGGTCAACAGGCCTAACAGATTGATTTTTGAAAATTCTTCTTTTAGCGTCTGAAAGTTTATTAACAAGTTCTGCATTCTCCAGAACTAATCTAGCTATTTCAAAGTCTTTCGATTTAATAATCCGCTCCAAATCCATTTTGATATTTTAAGAATTTAATTTTGTCTATGTTCTATCAAATGTTTTTATTCAAAGAATAATACTAATATTGTCCTCATTTGTTATTGTTCAGGTCATTCAAAGACCTTAAATGTTTATGTGAATGTAATTCATTTGAAAAGTCATTGAACTGTTGTCCGTGTGGTCAACTGGTCAAATTCATTCATAAAGTTTTGCGTCAGTGGTTTTGTAAAGGTGCATAAATAGAGACTTCTCTCGTGTAAATTGTATTGAAGAATCCATATAACTCACACATCATTGTCTGTAGTATCATAACAGAATATTTAATGGTCCTTTGTTTGATGCCTTCCTCGTATAAAAATCGTCAGGTAAGAGAATAGAAAAGTATATTCCATTCTTTCCGGCCCGGACGCACCAATGTAACTTTTAACGGGAATTAAACGTTAATAAAATAATGTTCACGGCTTCAGTCCATAATAGTATTACTAAACATAAAATTTGTGTAGATGACACAACTTCTAAGTTTATTTCATTTTCCTAGCTACATTTTGCATAATCTTTATTTCATCTCGAGTACTGTTATATATTGTATGTATCTCAAAATTGTTCTTTAATCAAGCTATTCAAAATCAAATCTTCATGATGATAACATTGTCCTAAGAAGCTTGTGTGATATTTTTAAAGCTAAAAGTTATCCTATTCAAAATCACATCTTCATGATGATTATATTGTCCTGAGAAGTTTGTATGATTTTCTTTTAAAAGCGAAAGCTATTATGTTATTTAAAAGTCATACATCAGTATATATAGAGGTTATTTAATGGGAGGGATGGAATATGGATTTTATTCCGAGGGAAAATATGATATTGGCCAAGGAAAATATCATATTGACCGAGGGCGATAGCCCGAGTGTCAATATGATATTTTCTGAGGCCAATATCATATTTTCTCAAGGAATAAATCCATATTCCATCACGACCATCAATAACCTATTTATTTCATAATATTTTAATATTTAATATTTGTCACAGTTATAGACCTTTGTCACAGTAATAGACGTAAACTAGATGATAATAATTTCAATAATTTCAATTTTCCAAACGATTTTTTACTTCCTGTAGAGATGTGCTAGACGAAAAGCGTAAAACTCAAGAGAAATTACCGGGAATATTTCTGATACGGGATCTGATACGGGATTATTGCTGATACGGGATCCAATACGGGATCTGATACGGGATTTTGGCTGATACGGGATCTGATACGGGATTTTTCAAATAACACTTTTATTCCCTGTTATTTTCCCAGGGAAAACATGTTATTATGGAATAAATACAGTTCTTGGAGTTCTTGGAATAAGGGCGGATCTCAATTTAAATAGGTTGATCTGATTGGATAGAGATTTTTGGGGACAGCTTAATTTATGGGGCACTACCCTTGCCTCTCCTGTAAACACGTGTCTGCATTGGCAAACAAAGGAATGTGTACAGTGATCACTTTAATTGCTGCAGTGAGGGGGGGGGGGGGGTGAATATAATCTATTCCTGTGGTCAGAAATAAATGTTTCTCCAGGAACTGTCGATACACATCAGATCAAAGTTAGTTACAACATTTAATTACATTTACACGATTAATAAACAATGCATATCCAAGCATTTAAAAATACATATTTAGTTTCACTAAACTACACCTAAAATATTCTTTGTCTGTGGGTGGGATGATTTCACCAAGGAGAGAATTCTCACAGATGTGCATGTGCACCCTGGGACAATAGCAGTATATTTGTCTTCCAATAAACAAAGGCTTCATAATTAAATAATTCAGAGTGGCATCCGAACTGATAAAATTGATAGTAAACAAAATATGAAATGTCAGCCTCGTTTGATTTGTGGCAATTAATAAATTCGAGTGAAAGAGTAAATCTGAACAACATGCTACTGAGCGTGTGAATTTAATATTCAGCTCTGTTTTACAAACATTAGAATCTTTATGACAAAGGGCTATAATGGTCAGAGCATTGAATTCAGATCTACATGCAATGATTTATGAACTGGGAATTTATGAAACCAACATTTGTATTTGACTCCATTAAAATAGTGAACATTTAATAATGACCCAGTCCAAACATTTTTGATTTCCCTAAAATATAAATATAAAACAGAAATAGTGCATTTCTGTTACATATATATATATTATATTTTATATATTTTATTTTGGTTTTAAAAATATTTTATTTATACATAAAAATTTGTGACAAGACTTCTGAATTACATAAATTTCAACGATAACTGGAACTTCAAATTGGGCTTAAAATAGACATAAAAGTATGAAATGTAATCAAGAATGAATGATATTTTCTTTGAATTTGTATAAATAAAACTGATTTATTGCTATTTAAAAGTGAGCAGATGTTGAAGACATAAACTCACCATTACTATTAGGTATATTAAAAATTACAGATACCAGTAGCAGATGAACACAAGTGATATGCAGCATGATAAATTAATGTATCAAATCCAATACTTTAATAACTAAATCAACACTAATATTTTGAGTAAAGCTTCAGCACAAAGTCAGCAAAAAAGTAATAATTTAAAACATGAGGGAATTTTTAGCACTGAATCAGCACTGGATTTTCAATTATTAACACTGATTTGGTGCTTATTTAGCACCCATATTTTCAGTAATTCAGCAAATATCCCTACATATATTCTACCCAGGATTCAACATGGCAGAATTTTTGTATGAAGACATAATGCAATCCATAGAAAGATAATTTCGTGATATCATAATACTAAACACCCTATGGGAGACGGATAACCTCATACAATATTACTTGTAGTACACTAATCAATTAGTTCAGGGTATTTCCTATAGAAAATATCAAATTTGCAACCAAATAAATAAAATAAATAATAAAATTTCTCGTTAGAATCATAAAAAATATTCTCACATATCAAAAGATGATATATGCAATTCATACTTTTCTCCGAACAGTTTATTGATTTCTGGTAGACAGATGCTAGAAGTAAAGACTATATGAAGTGCTGTTATTATACTACTGGTTCAAAGAAATGCTGGAATGCCAGCTGTTGACATCATAGAGAGTAGAGGATTAGAAAATAAATCAAATAGATTCATATATTTAATACCAGAAAACTTCAATTGGCAAATTATCAGAAATCAATATTCACTGTTTTAATCTTATCCACGGGAAATTAAAGATGCCAGGTTTCAATTAGAAAAAATATGTTTTGATACATTATTTTACATTCTTGAGGCTTTGTATATCTAATGAATAAAATATTTGTAAGGTTTGTTTGCTATTAATTCCTGAGCACAAAGCCATTAGCCCTTGAGGGCCTTAAGATGGAGGAAGATGAATTGACACTGGTTAAATAACTATTAAATAAATTAGAGTTCCTGCAGGCACTGTAGGGTGTTAAACGGTATAATAAACTTACTGTGCCTAGTAAATAGACCCCTCCTGCTATGACCACTGCAGATATTATTGTACCAAATATTGCAAACACTAAAATTGAGCCAATGTTCTGGAAAAAGTTGCCCTACAAAATAAAAGTACATTTTATATAACATGAACAAGATATGAACATTAATATCAACATGTCAATCTGTAGTCTAATTGCTTCAAGAGAGGCTCTTTAAAAGAGGAAAGATGTTGTAATTAATGTCTTAATTCTAATTTTGATTGTTTATGGTAAGAAATCTTGTTGTTCACAAACAATGTAATATAAAATCAAACTAATTTTATAGAACAGATTTGATCAGCAAAAGAGGCAATAAATCACTTACTTTATGCAAGTTATAGCCAGATTCAAATATGATGGGAGGAAGGACCACAATAAAGAAGACAGTTGGTGACAGTCTTTCTTCAGCTTTCCAATCTCCAAGGTTGTAGGTATCAACCAACTTCAGCACTAAACCAATAAAGGCACCTGAAGAGAAGACAGTTGTCTTTTATTATATACATATTTATACTGATGTGTACTCATTCATCCCAAAGTAAACTTACTTACTCCCCAACAAAAATTAAAAGTTACTTACTAACCTTAACCTATTGAATCCCAGATTCTAAAATTGGTTGAAACCAGAGACATTTTAAAACAATTTTTGTGTAAATTGGATGAATATTGTTCAAATAAGAGCAATTTTAGTGAAAATTTTTGTGATAGATTATCTCGTCACTCTGGGTTTCAAGGTTATTTATAAGGTGACAAGAAATCTGTCACTCTGGGTAGTCAAGAGGTTAACTAGAAAATGGCAACTCCACGGAGTAGCAAATCCCAACGAACACGAAATCATCAATCTGTATTTTAAATCATTGTAGTATCATGTAACAATACTTTCAAGATAACTCTAAGTAATGGCGAATTTCTGCTCTAGTCAGCCATTTTGAATTTTCAGAGGCGCAAATCAGAAAAACAATGCCATAATTGTGATCTACTCTGAAATCCCTTCAATTTGAGTATAATATAGCCATACTTTTAAGAGATCAGAAAACAATTGCGAAATCCCGCATTAGGTGGCCAATTTGAATTTTTTGAGGCCCGAATCAGAAAAACGTTACAATATTTGCAATCTACTCTAAATTGCCTTTCATTTGAGTATAATAAAGCTATACTTCAAAAACATCTCAAAATTAACGCAAATTCCTGTTTTCCCGATCCCCCATTTACGGCCCTTGGGGGTCAGGGTGAAAAACCTGGGATATATGTGAAATAGATAGATGTTGTTAATATACTACCAAAATTTCAAATAATAATATTTATTATTTTGGTTTAAAATGGAGAACATAAGATTTTTGCGAAAAATTCCCGCCATTTTTAAACTGGCGGCCATCTTGAAAAGTAAAACTGTTCACCAATATACATCTTTCCACCAAATATGAAAAAAATCTGTCAACTAGTATTCAAGTTATCTTCCGAACAGACAGACGGACTGACTGACAGACTGAAGGACTGACAGACTGTCGGACTGATGGACTGACGGATGGACGGAAGGCTTCACTATATCCCTACAGAACTTCGTTCGTTGGGATAATTAAATTTAACTTACCTATTAGGACTATGGCTATACTTTCAGGAAGATAGTGGAACTTTGTCTGAATCAGCATGTGAACACAGAGGGTACAAATGGCTGAAATGAATTATAAAACAAAGTAAAGATATAAATGATCTAATTTTACATTTTTATATAAGCGCCAGGAAAAATTGAAAAGTACTAATAAATTTATATTATGATTTCTCGAATGATTCATCAATGACACTGGTTGAAGAAGTAACATTGAATGATAACTTACCAACTATGAGGAGAATGAAGAAGATGGTCATACTGTAGTGATGCTCTTCCTCTACAGCTGCCTTTCCTGGCTCTAATGTTGTTGTTGTCAATGTCATCGTTGTAGTGTTCTCCATCAAAGTCACATTGATCATACTAGAACAAGCACAACAAGGCATTAACATGACAAAATGTCACCACCTAAAACAATTTGGTCAATTTAAAGCAAGTTGGAAAATACCTTTTGACCTTAAGAAGAACTTCTGAGAACATGTAGATGATTTTGAAAAAAAAATTAGTCAATTTGAAGCAAGTTGAAAAAAGACCTTTTTGACCTTGAGAAGGTCATTGAAGGTCGAAGGTCAAATCTAAAGTCAGATTTGAACTTCTGAAAAGATGTAGATGATTTTGAAAAAAAAATTTGGTCAATTTGAAGCAATTTGAAAACAGACCTTTTTGACCTTTTTTGACCTTGAGAAGGTCATTAAAGGTCAAATGTCAAATCTAAAGTCAGATTTGAATTTCTGAGAACATGTAGATGATTTTGAAAAAATAAATTAGTCAATTTGAAGCAAGTTGAAAAAAAGACCTTTTTTTACCTTGAGAAGGTTATTGAAGGTCAAATCTTAAGTCAAATCTAAAGTCAGATTTGAATTTCTGAGAACACGTAGATGATTTTGAAAATTTTTTTTAGTCAATTTGAAGCAAGTTGAAAACAGACCTTTTTGACCTTTTTTGACCTTGAGAAGGTCATTAAAGGTCAAATGTCAAATCTTAAGTCAGATTTGAATTTCTGAGAACATGTAGATGATTTTGAAAAAAAAATTAGTCAATTTGAAGCAAGTTGAAAAAAGACCTTTTTGACCTTGAGAAGGTCATTGAAGGTCAAATGTCAAATCTAAAGTCAAATCTAAAGTCATATTTGAATTTCTGAGAACATGTAGATGATTTTGAAAAAAAAATTTAGTCAATTTGAAGCAAGATGAAAAAATACCTTTTTGACCTTTTTTGACATTGAGAAGGTCATTGAAGGTCAAATGTCAAATCTAAAGTCAGATTTGAATTTCTGAGAACACGTAGATGATTTTGAAAAAAAAAATTAGTCAATTTGAAGCAAGTTGAAAAAAGACCTTTTTGACCTTTTTTGACTTTGAGAAGGTCATTGAAGGTCAAATGTCAAATCTTAAGTCAAATCTAAAGTCAGATTTGAATTTCTGAGAACACGTAGATGATTTTGAAAATTTTTTTTAGTCAAATTGAAGCAAGTTGAAAACAGACCTTTTTGACCTTTTTTGACCTTGAGAAGGTCATTGAAGGTCAAATGTCAGATCTTAAGTCAAATCTTAAGTCAGATTTGAACTTCTGAGAACACATAGATGATTTTGAAAAAAAAATTTAGTCAATTTGAAGCAAGTTGAAAACAGACCTTTTTTGACCTTGAGAAGGTCATTGAAGGTCAAATGTCAAATCTAAAGTCAGATTTGAAGGTCAAATGTCAAATCTAAAGTCAAATCTAAAGTCAGATTTGAATTTCTGAGAACATGTAGATGATTTTGAAAAAAATCTAGTCAATATGAAGCAAGTTGAAAAAAGACCTTTTTGACCTTGAGAAGGTCATTGAAGGTCAAATGTCAAATCTAAAGTCAGATTTGAACTTCTGAGAACATGTAGATGATTTAGAAAAAAATTGAAGTCAGTCTAAACAGTATTTGTTAAGTTATAGGAAGTTGTAAGAAATTGTTACAGACGCCAACCGCCGGACGCCAACCTCCAACCGCCGGACGCCGGACGCCAACCGCCGTCGCAAAAAAACGGAGACCATAACAATATGTCACCACTTTTGGTGGTGACATAATAAACTGGTAAAGACAACAATGAAAGGACCATAAGTGAAATAAAGTCAGACTCAAAGACACTACTAAGCAAGATCTCTGTATACATTTCATATGTTGAGTCATTGGATCATCACACAATCAAAAATATCTGTGCCAGATTTTGAAATGAGCTATAGTTTATGTGGTTTATCTCATGATCCAACAATGATATTATTCACAATACATGTACATTTCAAACACTCTATACTATATATCTCATGGACAACTCAGAATGTTCATCAGTGTTTTTTGCAATGATACAGATTTTCATTGAAAGGGATGTCCTGAAGTAATACATAATATTAGCTACTTTCGTGTTTTGTGTCAAATGAAGGAGACAGCAGGCACATTCAACTGGTTGTGCACCAATAAAGCATTCTATTTGAAATTCTAGACAAAATTGAGAAATAAATAAATATTTAAAAACACAACATACTTCATCAGTTTTGTAAACTTGAAATCATAATTATATTATAATTTATAATGTGCATTTATATAGTTCAATTCATGAAAGTAATACTTAGTAGCACCAGTTGAAAATTCAACTATATCTTAAATGGCAATTAAATGACCTAGTTACATTTACCTGTATGCAATAAGGCAAATCATTGTATACCACAGAGATAAAGTTATCCAACGTTTCAGACCATTTGTCAATTTGTTGGGCACCATGCCCAATTCCAATCCAAAAGGTAGAAACATTAACAATTAGACCTTCCACACACTTTTTGATTTTGACATCTCTGTACTTTTAACTTTCTATTTTGCATTGATTCAACAGATACATGTACATTATATGCATTAATTGGTAAACAGTATTTTCACAATTTGGTATGACTGTTCTCCAATATTTGGCATTTACAATAATTGATTTTATATAATGACGAGTAAACTCCCAAGCAAAAAATAATTTTGATGCCTTTTTTACTTGTGATAAATTCAATATAAAAAGGATATAAACATAAATGATAATGCAAAAATTACATGAGTTTCAAAACTTGAAATCCTAATTTCTCAACACATTGCAAATTGGGTGTTTCAGTTTTAATAAAATTAAAAATATTTGGCAGAACATTCAAAAGTAATTAAACATCAAAGCAACAGTATTTAAATCTATGAAGAAGAGTAATTGGCTATCGTAATAGTAAAGTATTATTAATCTTTGGCAGGTTATTGGCAAATTTTGGTACCAACGGAAAGCTAATGATTTATTAAAATATGATTTTGAAATAATTGAAGCCCCTAACTATGGGCCTTATTACATGTCAATTAAGATCCAGTCTCCTAAAAGCAAGGTTGGGTAAAAGCAAATAAACTATTCTTTCAAGAAATCACACTGGCCAAAATCTAAAAAAAGCAATGGATAGATAAATCTCCAGAAAAATTGAATTCTGTTGAATATAATTGATTAAACCAAAATTTAAAGAGCGCATGAATTCTATTTGAGAAAAGATTTCTCAGATATGCAATTGTATAACTTCTCTTTATTATATCGTAACACTTTTCAATTAAACTGCAGCTACATCCGGTGTAGGCCTTAACGTAAGAATTTAAATCACTCTATGATCGACTACATAAAGTCAAGAAATAATTCATTCATTCATTGAAGTTAATGCTCAAAATTGCAAAATTCTTTAAATTTTGAAACCAAAATCACATCTTTGTTCTGAAAAACTTGACATGATTCTGTATGCAGATGATACAAATATTTTAGTTGGTCATCAAAATCTAAACACCCAATGTAAAATCTTGAACAATGAACTCAAACATGTAAATCAGTGGTTCAAAGCTAACAAATTATCACCTAATATCTCAAAAACTAAATTTATACACTTTAAAACCCAAAACAATAGACATTACTATAACATTTCAAACAAAATCATCATGGATAATAATATTGTTGAGCAAACTGAAAAAATCAATTTCCTTGGTGCAACTATTGATGACAGACTGAATTGGAAACATCATATTCATATGCTTGAAAATAAATTATCTAAAACTATTGGAACGTTACATAAAGTCAAACATCTACTGGATATTGCAAGTCTTAAAACGCTCTATTACTCCCTTATTTATTCCAATTTTAATTATGACATAATAATGCGGGGATGTGTGCCTGAAACTCTATTAAATAAGCTTCATTCAATTCAAAAACAATTTATACGTTAAATGCTCAATAAATCTTATCATTATAGAGATCCAACTAAACCACTCTTTATTGAACATAAATTGCTAAATATTCACCAAATTGTTAAGTTGAGAATTGCTTTATTTGTTTTCAAATGTGTAAAGGGCAATAATGACTTGATTGATGATCTTTATTCTTCTTACTTTACAACCAATTATAGCATCCATGACCGCGACACAAGGAACAAATTTGACCTGAGAGGCCCCAAGTTTAACACTAACATAGGCAAATTTTCAATCAGCCTTCAAGGCAAAACCATCTGGAATTCAATCCCAGAGAATATAAGATCATTGAACTCAGAAAAATTATTCAAATCAAAATATTTTTATCATCTATTAACTCAGCCACAACCAAGACTTTGAGGTGCTCACATGTTGTACAATAAAATTCCCAACACATCATTTCATTGGGTATTTTCTGGCACTTTTGATCTCAACAATTCTTATCTATGTTTTTTATCTTTAGCATGAACACCAACTATATCAGGAAACGGGGACATTGGGAGGAGGCCAAACAGCTTTGTATCATAGCTGAAATCGCAGGAACAAAACCTTTTTTACTTAATATAATAGTTCCAAGGATTTTTTCCATTCATATACCTATTTGTCATCTTCAATTGCTACTCATATGAATTTTTTATTGTTACAGGGGGCACCATACACCTTTCAGTGGTGTCTCGCTCCCTTCATCTATTTTGTATTGTTTGTATGTACATATATTTAATAAATTGAAATTGAAATAATAAATTGAAATTGAGCCTGTAGTTTATTTCTGATTCTGGCAGCATAAAAGTGAGATACTGCTATAGATAAGGAAAATAAGCACAATTATTAAGTAAAATTTAAATGTTTATTGCCTTTGACTCAATTATTTGTGACCCAGGACTGAACTGAAATCCAACCCAAGCCAAAATCAGAGTTGAAAATAAAACCATCAAACTTTTTCACCCAAATGAGTGGTTATTCAAATTGCCAATTACTTGATATCAATATTAATCTAAGAGATTATTTTAAAAATTCCAAACTCTATACAGACTGTATGGTTAAACATGCACATAAAGTTCCACTTATCCATAACTAAATTGTATGCATGTTATTACATATGTTTATTACCCCTTTCCAAGATACCAAGCTCATTTTTGGTCTCATAGGCTTCTGTTGGGCCATTCACTTCCAACAGGGTTACTAAATTCAGCCAATTACTTTCATCTCCCCTCATGTTTCATTTTGAATTTGAATCGCTAATGCTAAAACATTTTACCCAAGACATCTTAGGGCTCTAGTGTAAATACAACAAGTAATCTGAATGTTATGTGATGTTTTGTGAACATGAAAACCCAAAGATGTAAATGTTTTGAAATCGAGAGTAAAATGGCTGATTTCAGTTTCTAAGTTCCAGGCTTCATGACTTTGTGAGACATATATATAATAATTACTTACAAGCAGAGAAGCTTGCAACAATTCCAAACCAAGACAGACTACTCCTTGTTACAGTGTTAAAAAGGCAAGAACTTAACTTTGACATATAAGTGTTACCTGATGAATGGGACCCTCACGTGCCTTCCAAATGGTAGTAAACGAACTCCAATGTAACTACATCAGCTTATCTTTCCCTCCAATCAACAATAAGTAGTTATACAAGAAATGTTAACGAACTGGAAAATTCCCCAAAATGTTCCGACTGGCTTGTCATTTTTGGGAATTTTTACAGTTCGTTTACATTTCTTATATAACTGCACTTATTGTTGGAGTTGGTTTACTACCATTTGGAAGGCACGTGAGGGTCCCATTCATCAGGTAACACTTATATGTCGAGTTGCCCTTTTAGTACAGGTAAACTTTCACAATGTTCAGAACATCTATATTCTATAATTGTAGAAAGAAGGATAGTCCTGTATAATCCAGATCTTTTTATGTATTATTTTCATGTCATGTAAGGGGGAGCGTTGTTTAATTGCTCACTGGACATGGGTTAGTGTAGTTCAACAAGTTAAACCCAATACCACAGCTTTCATTTATAATCTGAGTGTTCTGTTGCCGTGGTTGGGTTTAACTTCCGTGCTATGCTTTCATTGGTTGCAAATTCTCACTATCAGTTATAAAACGCGCATAGAATTCAATGTGCTGCCATAGGCCATCATTAAAATTTTTTGCATCAAAGGCCGAATAGGCACGGATGTAAAACCTAGGGCGGGCCACAAGAAATGTCAGATAAGAAATAAGGCCCAGACTAGGTTTAACTTGTTGAACTAGGGTTAGTGATGAAGAAATGTCTGTCTCATCATATATAAGTAAACAAACCTTGCATTCAAAGTTGTAGTTTTCCCTTGGATTGCAACACCTTCTTTTTGCACGGTATCATGTTGATTTTTTCCTGGATTGATACTTTCGTCGAATTGCCCAATTCCAAATAATTGGAGAAAAATCATCCAAAATACGACGCTTCGTACACCCTTCCATACGGTCCTACGAGAGTGATTTGTATCTAAATCCATAATGTGCGTATAGTAATGTAATTACTTATCATACCATGCTGATAAATACAGCTATCGCGCTATTCTAAAGCATTTTGTTGATCAAGAGGTTCTGATACTTCTTATTTCTTAATTCCGGAAGTGTTATTTGTTTTTCACTGAGATATGTACAAGATGGTACAATGGGGGAAGAGCGCTGAGTTTAAAATGACGTGTCACCTGCAGCTTATTTTAGTTATTATAGTAAACTGTAAGCTGCAATGCACTGAAGCTGAACTAATTACACCCTATTCACTCATTCTATAGTTGAATAGTACACTGTTACATGCAGTGTACTGAAGCTGAACTAATTACACCCTATTCACTCGTTCAATAGTTGAATAGTACACTGTTACGTGTAGTGCACTGAAGCTGAACTAATCATACCCTATAAACTCATTCAATAGTTGAAAAGTACACTGTTACGTGCAGTGCACTGAAGCGGAACTAATTGCACCCTATTCACTCATTCAATAATTGAATAGTACACTGTTACGTGCAATGCACTGAAGCTGAACTAATTGCACCCTATTCACTCATTCAATAGTTGAATAGTACACTGTTACGTATATTGCACTAAAGGTGAACTAAATACACCAAATTCACTCATTCAATAGTTGAATAGTACAATGTTACTTGCAGTGTACTGAAGCTGAATTAATTACACCCTATTTACTCATTCAATAGTTTAATAGTACACTGTTACGTGCAATGCACTGAGCTGAACTAAGTACACCCCATTCACTCATTCAATAGTTGAATAGTAAACTGTTACGTGCAGTGCACTGAAGCTGAACTAATTAAACCCTATTCACTCATTCAATAGTTGAATAGTAATCTCTTACATGCAATGCACTGAAGCAGAACTAATTAAACCCTATTCACGCATCAAATAGTTGAATAGTACACTGTTACTTTCAGTGCACTGAAGCTGAAATAATTACACCCTATTCACTCATTCAATAGTTGAATAGTAAACTGTAACGTGCAGTGCACTGAATCTGAACTAATTAAACCCAATTCACTCATTCAATAGTTGAATAGTAATCTCTTACATGCAATGCACTGAAGCTGAACTAATTAAACCTTATTCACTCATTCAATAGTTGAATAGTAATCTCTTTCATGCAATGCACTGAAGCTGAACTAATTAAACCCTATCCACGCATCAAATAGTTGAATAGTCCACTGTTACATGCAGTGCACTGAAGCTGAAATAATTACACCCTTTTCACTCATTCAATAGTTGAATAGTAAACTGTTACGTGCAGTGCACTGAAGTTGAACTAATTACACCATATTCACTCATTCAATAGTGGAATAGTAAACTGTTACGTGCAGTGCATTGAAGTTGAACTAATTACACCCTATTCACTCATTCAATAGTTGAATAGTAAACTGTTACGTGCAGTGCACTGAAGCTGAACTAATTACACCCTATTCACTCATTCAATAGTTGAATAGTAATCTCTTAAGTGCAGTGCACTGAAGCTGAACTAATTACACCCTATTCAATAAGCCAATAGTTGAATAGTACACTGTTACGAGCAGTGCACTGAAGCTAAACTAATTACACCCCATTCACTCATTCAATAGTTGAATAGTCAACGGTTACATCCAGTGTACTGAAGCTGAACTAATTACACCCCATTTACTCATTCAATAATTGAATACTAGTAGTACACTGTTACGCGCAGTGTACTGAAGCTGAACTAATTACACCCTATTCACTTGAACATTGGTTGAATAGTACACTGTTACGTGCAGTGTACTGAAGCTGAACTAATTAAACCCTATTCACTCATTCAATAGTTGAATAGAAATCTCTTACATGCAATGCACTAAAGCTGAACTAATTAAACCCTATTCACGCATCAAATAGTTGAATAGTACACTGTTACGTGCAGTGCACTGAAGCTGAAATAATTACACCCTATTCACTCATTCAATAGTTGAATAGTAAACTGTAACGTGTAGTGCACTGAAGCTGAACTAATTGAACCCTATTCACTCATTTAATAGTTGAATAGTAATCTCTTACGTGCAGTGCACTAAAGCTGAACTAATTAAACCCTATGCACTCATTTAATAGTTGAATAGTAATCTCTTACATGCAATGCACTGAAGCGGAACTAATTAAACCTTATTCACTCATTCAATAGTTGAATAGTTATCTCTTACATGCAATGGACCGAAGCTGAACTAATTAAACCCTATCCACGCATCAAATAGTTGAATAGTACACTGTTACGTGCAGTGCACTGAAGCTGAAATAATTACACCCTTTTCACTCATTCAATAGTTAAATAGTAAACTGTTACGTGCAGTGCACTGAAGTTGAACAAATTATATCATATTCACTCATTCAATAGTGGAATAGTAAACTGTTACGTAAAGTGCATTGAAGTTGAACTAATTACACCCTATTCACTCATTCAATAGTTGAATAGTAAACTGTTACGTGCAGTGCACTGAAGCTGAACTAATTACACCCTATTCACTCATTCAATAGTTGAATAGTAATCTCTCAAGTACAGTGCACTGAAGCTGAACTAATTACACCCTATTCAATAATCCAATAGTTGAATAGTACACTGTTACGTGCAGTGCACTGAAGCTAAACTATTTACACCCCATTCACTCATTTAATTGTTGAATAGTAAACTGTTACGTCCAGTGTACTGAAGCTGAACTAATTACACCCCATTTACTCATTCAATAATTGAATACTAGTAGTACACTGTTACGCGCAGTGTACTGAAGCTGAACTAATTACACCCTATTCACTCGAACAATGGTTGAAAAGTACACTGTTACGTGCAGTGTACTGAAGCTGAACTAATTACACCCTATTTACTCATTCAATAGTTGAATAGTACACTGTTACGTGCAGTGTACTTAAGCTGTACTAATTACATCCTATTCACTCATTCAATGTTCATTCGTTCAATAGTTGAATGGTACACTGTTATGTGCAGTGTACTGAAGTTGAACTAATTGCACCCTATTCACTCATTCAATATTTGAATAGTACACAGTTACGTGCAGTTTACTGAAGCTAAACTAATTACACCCAATTCACTCATTCAATAGTTGAAGAGTAAACTGCTACGTGCAGCGCACAGAAGCTGAACTAATTACACCCTATTCACTCATTCAATAGTTGAATAGTTCACTGTTATGTGCAGTGTACTGAAGCTGAACTTATTACACCCTATTCACTCAATCAATAGTTAAATAGTACACTGTTTCGTGCAGTGTACTGAAGCTGAACTAATTAAACCCTATTCACTCATTCAATAGTTGAACAATACACTGTTACGTGAAGCGCAAATAAGCTGAACTAATTACACCCTCTTTACTCATTCAATAGTTGAATTGTAAAATGTTACATGTAGTGTACTGAAGCTGGACTAATTACACCCCATTCACTCATTCAGTAGTTGAATAATACACTGCTACGTGCAGCGCACAGAAGCTGAACTAATTACACCCTCTTTACTCATTCAATAGTTGAATAGTAAAATGTTACATGTTGTGTACTGAAGCTGGACTAATTACACCCTATTCACTCATTCAGTAGTTGAATAGTACACTGTTACGTGCAGTGCACTGAAGCTGAACTAATTACACGATATTCACTCATTCTATAGTTGGATAGTACACTGTTACGTGCAGTGTACTGAAGCTGAACGAATTACACCCTATTCACTCGTTCAATAGTTGAATAGTACACTGTTACGTGTAGTGCACTGAAGCTGAACTAATTATACCCTATTCACTCATTCAATAGTTGAATAGTACACTGTTTCGTGCAGTGCACTAAAGTGGAACTAATTGCACCCTATTCATTCATTCAATAATTGAATAGTACACTGTTTCGTGCAGTGCACTGAAGCAGAACTAATTGCACCCTATTCACTCATTCAATAATTGAATAGTTCAATGTTACGTGCAATGCACTGAAGCTGAACTAATTGCACCCTATTCACTCATTCAAAAGTTGAATAGTACACTGTTACGTATAGTGGACTAAAGTTGAACTAATTACACCAAATTCACTCATTCAATAGTTGAATAGTACACTGTTACTTGCAGTGTACTGAAGCAGAATTAATTACACCCTATTTACTCATTCAATAGTTTAATAGTACACTGTTACGTGCAGTGCACTGAGCTGAACTAAGTACACCCCATTCACTCATTCAGTAGTTGAATAGTAAACTGTTACGTGAAGTGCACTGAAGCTGAACTAATTAAACCCTATTCACTCATTCAATAGTTGAATAGTAATCTCTTACATGCAATGCACTAAAGCTGAACTAATTAAACCCTATTCACGCATCAAATAGTTGAATAGAAAACTGTTACGTGCAGTGCACTGAAGCTGAAATAATTACACCCTATTCACTCATTCAATAGTTGAATAGTGAACTGTAACGTGCAGTGCACTGAAGCAGAACTAATTAAACCCTATTCACTCATTTAATAGTTGAATAGTAATCTCTTACGTGCAGTGCACTGAAGCTGAACTAATTAAACCCTATTCACTCATTTAATAGTTGAATAGTAATCTCTTACATGCAATGCACTGAAGCTGAACTAATTAAACCTTATTCACTCATTCAATAGTTGAATAGTAATCTCTTACATGCAATGGACTGAAGCTGAACTAATTAAACCCTATCCACGCATCAAATAGGTGAATAGTACACTGTTACGTGCAGTGCACTGAAGCTGAAATAATTACACCCTTTTCACTCATTCAATAGTTAAATAGTAAACTGTTCCGTGCAGTGCACTGAAGTTGAACAAATTATATCATATTCACTCATTCAATAGTGGAATAGTAAACTGTTACGTGCAGTGCATTGAAGTTGAACTAATTACACCCTATTCACTCATTCAATAGTTGAATAGTAAACTGTTACGTGCAGTGCACTGAAGCTGAACTAATTACACCCTATTCAAAAATCCAATAGTTGAATAGTACACTGTTACGTGCAGTGCACTGAAGCTAAACTATTTACACCCCATTCACTCATTTAATAGTTGAATAGTAAACTGTTACGTCCAGTGTACTGAAGCTGAACTAATTA